ATTATATTGTAATATAGGTAGTAGGTACTAATATGAATATATTTAATATTTCGTACGATTGTACGAATGTAATATTATTGATATTCAAACTTCAAAAATGGTGGGAAGTATCATCATATTTTAAGGAGTAAAGTTAGGCAATTTAATATCAATCTCGGGGGGAATTGATAAGACCGGTCGCCAAGTTTTACAGCAGTAAGTGTCCCGTATTGTCGTATATAGTATTTGCTATCGTGGACCGATCAGTCTCTTCCTTGTGCAGCAGTCGGTTCGTTGGTTGTAAGCTTGTTACTATTAACTTGTAGATCTTTCACTTTCTCACTCTGTGTCTCTGCACATTGCCACATTGGCCCTAAAGATTAGTTTTATAATAAAACTTATCCATAGAACTTTTGTTGTATTAACCATGGCGATTGCAATAACAATAATGATATTTTGTTAAATGCAGAATTCTATTAGTATTTAATCTTTCAAATTGTTTGGTTCAAAAGTCGAAAAACTGTACTATCGTTTTGATGTACATCTTTTAGAAAAATCAATTTGTCTCAAAATCTATAAAAGTAAAGTATATCAAATTTGTATTTATTTATTTACATATTACTACCTGGAGTTTTGGTATCACCGATTTTAATACACCAATAATTTTTTTTATGGATTGATGCTTTAGGTTAGACAGTAGAAACTGGACATGTCAAATAGTGACAGTCATATGGATATGATCAGTCATGATGATTCTGATAGCGAAGAGTTTGACTGTGATAAGCGTAGGATACCACTGGAACATTTACCATTGTTTCAACGATTGGCATCGGTTAATGGCAAAATAAACCGCATGAAAAGACGTCAATTGATAGATACAATGAAAAAAAAAAATCTCAATACTGATGGTGAAATTGATGTTTTGAAAAAACGTTTAAAAAATCACTATAGAATGCAAGCACTAATCAAAGCTAAAATCTGTGAATCTGAGTCTACTTACTTTCCGTATTTTGTTGTCATTGATATTGAAGCAACATGTACTGAAAATAATCCAGCTGATTACAAGTATGTTTGTGTATAATCAATTATTTCTTTTATGCAAAAATATATTTAACTGGAAAACGGTAATCTAATTATGTACTTAGATACTTTATTAAATTGAATGAAACTATTTTCTGTAAATAAAAATAATACAGTAAAACCTGTGTAAAACGGAAACGGTTGGGACCGGATATTTTTTCCATTTTAGACAGGTTTCCATTTAATACAGGTTGTAAAAAAAAAAATTAACAATAGATCTTTATTACATATAATTTATTATTTATTATTAATTCATTTTTATTTCATATATTTTACATATTATTTATTAATCCTTACTCCAAAATTCATCCAATGTTTTTTGTTTTGTTATTTGACTTGCCATTTTCTTTTCTACTAAATTTTTCATTTTTTTGTTTTAATATATTATACACTTGACTTTTTCCACATTTGAAAAGTTCACAAATTTGTTTTACTGTTAATTTATCTTTTTCACTTGACTCAATTAGTTTAATTTTTTCATTTAGTGTTAAACATTTATTTTTGGACGTCATATTGAATATACGTCTATACGCACCTTACGTCAGAACACTACTACGACACTAATCGATAAAATAAACTTATTGCAACGAAATAATCTATATAATTGATATAGATTATATTCATTGACTGATAATTTTAAAATAGTACATGTACATATTTCCATGATATACAGGTTCATGACAAAATATTGTTTCCATTTCCACGTTAAACAGGTTCCATATTATTCAGGGAACGATGTATTTAAAACTACATTAGGTTCGCCGGGACCGTAACATTTTTCCATAAAAGTCAGGTTTCCATGTTATTCGGGTTCCATATTACACAGGTTTTACTGTATGTTAATCTTTAACATTGCTCTAACCGCTATCAACAATTTCATCATTTGGTAAATCTAGATTCACATAAGTATTTACATTTTCGTAATGTTTTAATATAAAATTAGTATACTCTAAATTTATTATGATCATAATTTGTATCTATTCATTATTTTTTTTCACTTTAAATTCTAAGAAGAATTTATAAAATCGTATTATAACTGCTTTTTAATTGATTGTATCTCATTAATATGCAGTACTTTATGAGTTAGGCATATTAATAAAACTAGTTAATAATTTATTCAAATTATTAAATGTAAGTAAATACAATTAAAATGTTAAATTCATATTTTAATGTCTGTTTAAATAATTTAATTAATTCTTTGATTATGATTTTTGTTTAAATTGTACATTTAATATGTAATTGACATTTTAGGTTTGAAATCATAGAATTTCCAGCTGTATTGGTTGATGCCAAAAAACGGAAAATAATTGATCATTTTCAAGCATTTGTAAAACCATCAATCAATCCAAAACTATCTGAATTTTGCATTAAATTAACTGGTATAACTCAAGTAAGTTTATTTTTAAATCGGTGTTCACCTAATTCTTAAAACATACTTTGTTCCAGAAAAAATCAATCTGTACAAAAAAGCTAATATGTAACAGAGTATCATTTTTTAATTAGTTTTTTTCTGTAACCAAAAATCTGATTTGCCCAATCAACCAATGGCTTTGATACTAACTAAAAAGAATTACTTTTCATAATTTTTTTATTATAGGCTGCTTTTAAGTGTAACAATGTAAATTGTTCAATAAAAATTGTATGTTTTGACTTTATTAAAAAAATAGTTTATATACAAAGTTCAGTGTTCCTCCCCAAATAACTTGTTTATAATTCATACATTTTCCTTGCAGAGGAAAAATATAAAGTAGCGTCCTACATTAAAAAATGCCTTGATTTTTAATTTATAATTTTAATTACCAGAATCAAATTGATAACGCTGATTCATTTGAAGTATGTTTGAAAAGATTTACTAAATGGTTAGAAGAACATGAACTTGGAACTAAACACAAATTTTCTATTGTCACCGATGGCCCATTTGATATGGCTCGATTTCTTTACGGACAGTGCTTAGTAAGTTTTAATATAGTTTTTGATCAAAATATTTTACTATTTATACTACTTATTTATTAACTATTTTGTTCGGCTAATATTAATACTGTACAACTTTTAGATGTCAGGAATTCCATACCCAAAATTTGCTACTAAATGGATTAACATAAGAAAAGTATTTAGATCGTTTTATTTTACAAAACAAGTCAAGGTAATTTATTATATTATGCATTTATGCACTAATCAAGTAATTAATTAAATAATAATACTGTACATATGAGTGGTATACACAAAATAGTTTCTTTTATTTAAATAGAAATTTAGTTTGTTTCAGAAAATAATAAAATTCACCGAGTTTAATCTACTTTTTTTATGTAATCTCTAGCTACCCCAGTATCTTAATATATTTTAGGTACCTGAAAATGAGTTTTGAATTCTAGTTGTTTTGTAAAAACTTCTTGCCAATTCAGCCCAATAACAGGACGTTTGGTAATCGTCAAGTGTTCCTCTTTGGCAGTCTTTCCTGTCATTAGCTTACGAGGTACTAACCTCCGGCATCGCTTATTCTCTTAAGAGAAGTGTCTTCTTTCACTTTCTATTGTCAGTTTTGACAAAGAAAAATCCCTCTGCCATACAGAAGCAAACAGGTTATTTTTGTGTATATCCCTTGTATAAATATTTATTTTTCTATAATATTAAAATAAAATAAACCTTATTACTTACAGCATTCAGTTCTTTGCAATCTAAATGCAATGTTAACTTTTTTGGATATGCAATTTGAAGGCAACCCTCATAGTGGCCTAGATGATTCATTTAATATATCTAGGATATGCTTACGATTACTTGAAGATGGAGCTTTTATAGATCAAAATGAACGAATTATTTCACTTAAAACCCCAACACCTTATGGAAAAGACGTAATTATAATTTTTTTTTATTTGTTCAATAATTTATGTAATATATTATTATAAATGTTGAATTTTACCGCAGGATCCATTGCCAGTAAGACCTGTGCACAATATATTTTGTGATGGAATGCATAGTCATAATAGGTGGTTAGTTACACAATTGAAGAGTTTAGATATAAACAATGACATTTAACATTAGTTAAATTCATTAAAAACTGTTTCAACTTTTAACTGTTATGTTCCTTTCATTGTGAAATATGATTCTTTGTTAAAAAAGTTTGTATTATCTTTTAAAAATGTTGGTTGTCTATGCGACTTCAAGTCAATTTAATTGTGATCATTGTAATAATAATAATTTTAACACAAAATAAAATATTATCTTTTTAGTTATTACATTTTATTGTTTAAGATTTTTTTGTTTTGTTTATTTATTCTATGAATTAAATTAGTATATGTCAATGGATAACTAAAACCAACCATTAAAACTGCAACTATGATTTTTTGCCTGTAAACCGAACTTTTTTTTAGCGGTTTATGGTTTTGTTCAATAGTCTTAGTATTTTTTTTGGGCTACACCAATCATGTACTTGCTGCCTAACCACTGCTTTTGAAAAAGGTATTTTGAGGTTTGAACTAAAGAATACACACATTGTCAACTATCCAGTATCCACTATTGTACCACAGATTATATCTCTGTTTGTATAGTGTTGAGTAATGTCCTGCAGTACACCAGTCTCCAGTAGTTTCTAAAAGTAAATAAATCAGGTAAGTTGCTCTGCTGTACAGTAGGTTACAAGTGGGTTACTGTAATGGATGATGTCAAATTTGAATTCTAACCCTTAGCTATAAAATATGAACATTTTAAAAATTCTTAACTATAAAATTATTTATAAATTTTGTCAACATTTGAACTTTAAATGCATTTGAAAAAAATCATGCTGACATACTTTAAATATTTTTCAACTTAAATTGTAACAATATATCAAATGCTTTATAATACATTTTCACAAATAATTAACAAGTTCTTCGTTTTTGAATTACGAATTTACAACAAAATAAGAAAATCGCTCATACGAAGTCCAGTAAATATCCAATGTTGCAAAAATTTCAACTTCAAACGCTCATCATAAACATTATTGTAGATTTACCCTCAACTTTTTTTTTTAAATTTCATGGTTGAAATACAATATAATAGTTGTTAGTACAACAAATTACGGGGAACCCTATGTATTGTAACATTTTCAAGTTTTTTGACAGCGAAAATTTTTTTTATTGATATTAGTTTATAAAAAAATCAATAGTAGTTGAAGTTGAACATATCATACGCCTATAAATACACTGGTCAAACACGATTTAAAATATTTTGAGAATTTTAGGGTGTATAGAAAATGCGGATATAAAATAAACGCCCAGTGAAAATTGTATGTAATTACAGTATTTTTTTTTTAGAGTTACATCAAAAACCAAAGTCGATTTTGTTAAAAAACGGGATTTATTGTTTGTTATTCCCTCTACTTAAGAAAACTATTGGGCATTTTTTACTTTTGACCCTCCAAAGTACCAACCAGATTCACTTTTCTACTATAACAAAAATAGAAAATATGCTGTTGTACAAAATCGAGTCACTTTTACTGGCCCAAAAGGTGATGATAGACACAAAAATAAAAAATATGTCATTGTTAAATTAATATATTCATCTCTCCACTCAGAATCCAAAAATGAGCCTCAATAAAATAAAATGAAAATATGGAGTTACTACTTACTATAGGCTTTTGGTTAAGTATTAATAGGACTATGAGAGTTACAACCTTTTTTTAACATTTTTCTTACGTTGGCACACCTCAAAAATGATTGTGTTGGCTCCCTTGTTCTAAGCCGGCATCGTGGCGTTCTGTGATACTCGTTATCGTTGTATATGTTTTCAATCGTCATAAGTAACAACTCACAAATCACAATTCACAATTCAGAATTTCAATTTTAAGTCGTCAGATTGTAGTAAACTAGTTTATTACTGTATTAGTAAAATATTTTAATTTATAATAAAAATATAAAATGATGTTTTGTTTCATTAGTTAATAATTATTTTTTTTTGTTATCGATTGCTTTTTGAGTAATAGTCATTTTCTACTCCTATTCCATTTGTTGAGTAATTTTATTTTACAAAAATGTTAATTAAATATTACTTGTGTTCAATATTAACGTTAAGCGTTGCTGCGTTCGCCAGTGCGTCCAAAGAGACTCTAGTACTACTCAACAATTTAGTCATCAAAGAGACACATTCCATTTTATTTAACACACTCAAAGGTAAAATTTAATTTTTCATAATTTAGTTGCTATTAAGCTATTGTGATTCGTCTGATAATGTGACAATTATTTCGGTTAAAAACTCATTGATTTGAAAAGTGTCCCAATATCTTCCATTGTAAAGGTCATGTAAGTTGACACATTTTGTCTCAGTATTTACGTCCTAATTAAACTATTCATATAGGTAGCTTAGGTATGTTTATATGGTTAGAAATAGTGCAGTAGTATTTCCTTAATGTCATTGAGATGCTTAAAAAAAGCAGGTGATGCTTATAATTTGTTCCTATAAATTATTTGACTTTTTTTATCATGATGTATAAATTACACTCTGCTGGTAGAATGTATGCGGTAAATGCATTTTCCACTCATTCAAAATTCTGGAAATAGACACATCACTTTTATCAATTTAAAAGTAGATTAAGTAAATAAAAAACATAATATTATGCAGATGCGGGTAGTGATGTTCATCAACATTAAGTACATATTATAAGCATTTAACAATAATAATTCAATGTATTGTTTTAGTCGAGGTTGAAATTCTTAGAGGTTAATTTTTTAAGAAAAATATATATTTGTATAATTTTCAGTGCTAAGTAGATCCTTACTACTTATTTGTATTAAAATAATTCTTAAAAAAACAAAAAAATTATTATATTTTTTACATTTTGATTTAATCTTTAGAAAGAGGATATCATCTGACTTTCAAATCAGCTGATGACCCTACATTAGTGCTTTCTAAGTATGGAAAATACTTTTATGAAAATTTAATTATTTTCGCTCCAACCGTCCAAGAATTTGGTGGATCTCTCAACATTGAAACAATTACTCAATTCATTGATGACGGAGGTAAAACCAATTTATTATTGCATAATTTTACTTATACAACAAGAATCTTTATTATTTATAGGCAATGTTTTGTTTACTGGTGGTGTGTCTACTGGTTCTGCTTTGAGAGAGTTGGCTGCCGAATGTGGTTTTGAAGTTACCGAAGAAAATTCATCTTTAATTGACCATTTGAATTATGATGCCAGTGATTCAGGAAAAGTAATAATAATTAGTATATAAATATTTAGGTATTGAAGTTAACCTAAATATCAGTTTAACCATTAAAGTTTGATGCCAGTTTTATTACATTTTAAAATGTACACGCCTGTCCAGTCATAAGCGTGCACAGGCATATTAGTCATGCATAAAATAAGGGATAAAATATTACTATACACGCGTATATATATATTCTTATTCACGCTGAAGTTATATATACCAGGTAATTTGATGGGGTAACCTCATTTAACTTCACTTTATTATAAATAAAAATCAGATAATTGTTTATCATGATACTATTGAATATTGAAGAGGTGGGAAGTTTGCAGAGTAGTTAAAATAATACTTAGCTTCTGCTTATAACCTTGTGTGAAGGTACGGAATACATAGGTACTTCAGGTAGTTCAATTGAAACTACAAATTATGATTATTAACCATAATATATAAACTATTTTCATTTTTAAATACTAAATTTAAAATTATTTTTTAACTTGAACATTTTTCATGTATGTAATATTATATAGACTGTACAAATTACAAAACATAATATTAATTAAGTTGGTTTTTAATTATTGTAAAAATAAAATTTAGTGCATTTCTTATATTTTTTAGTGTATAATTTTAGATTTTTATGATCATATTGTAGTATATTTAAATGTTTTTTAGAACTTAAAAGTCCCAAACCTTGATGGTAATGTACATATTCTTATTTTTCCTTAGAGATTTTAATCAATGATCAACAAAAAAAAATTAAATTTATATTTATTTATATAGCATACTTTGGTAGTAACCAGTTCATCAAACCTAATTAAATCTGAAGAAATTGTTGGAAAAAGTAATGAAAATCCACTGTTATATGAAGGAACTACAGTCATTACAGATCCAAAAAATCCTTTAGTACTTCCTATTCTTCATGCGGAGTCTACGGCGTATTCTTACAAACCAGACCTTCCAGTTAAAGATGTAAGTTGATTAAATTAAAATATGAGTTATCTACTATCATATTATAATAATAAAAAAATTCCTGTGGTTTCCAGTATACATTAGGAACAGGCAAAGATTTATTACTAATTGCAGCTTTACAAGCAAGAAATAATGCCAGAGTTGTATTTTCTGGTTCCTTGTACTTCTTTTCTGATGTTGCTTTTAGGACTTCTGTACAAAAAGTTGTAAGTTTTTGTTTTAGAAATATTCTCATATAGTTGTCTTGATACAAATTTTAATATTATGTTAAAATATAATACTTTATTAGGATGGAAAAACATACAATATTTCTGGAAACCAAGAAGTTGCTTCAAACATTGTTTTGTGGACATTAAAAGATAGAGGTATGATAAGAGTGAAGTCTGTAAATCATCATAAATTGGGCGAGTCGTCACCTCCACCATCTTACACAATTATGGATATGGCTGTAATATTTTTATATCAATAACAATCTGTATAAGTTTCCAGCAATTCATTTTTTAATTTTGATTTTCATAGATATTTTTGGTAGAGTTGGAACGTTGGGAAAATGGAAAATGGATCCCTCATAACGCTAATGATGTTCAAGTCGAATTTGTACGCATAGATCCGTTCTGGCGTGGAAATCTTAATAATTTAAAAAATGGCAAGTATGAGTTCACATTTAAAATACCAGATACATATGGAGTGTATCAATTTAAAGTAGAATACAACCGCATTGGGTTTACTGCAATCAGAAGCTCCACCATGGTAAATAATATATTTATTTAATTAATCATGTATATTAAAATTAAAAATATTTTTTATTACTTTTAGGTGTCTGTAATTCCACTGGAACATACTCAGTATGAAAGATTTATCTTAAGTGCATATCCATATTACTCAAGTGCTTTTTCAATGATGTTTGGTGTGTTTATATTCAGTTTTGTCTTCCTTCATTATCGAGAAGATAAAGCAAAGGGAGAATAATTCAGACTGTTTAATATTATATTGTTTAACATTACTCTTGATAGAGATAACTGATAATAATATTATAAGTCCAAACTTAAATAATGTATTAATGAATAAATATGTAAATGTATCTACTTCAATTGAAAACAAAATTCTGCACTTTAGCACCTACTGATTTAATTTTGTGATTTTTTTTATTAAAACATCTTACTTATATCAGTTATACCATTTGTTATTTTTTGTGATAATCCTATACAAATTTATTCTTCAACATTTTCATATTTATTAAAATTTAGTTAACAATTACTGTGCATACTGACTGACAAAATTGGCACATACAAGATACAAATGTTAAAACTTTAAATTAGGTGCTTAACAAATCATTAATGCCTTCTCCTAATAATGTGAACTCTCTTTGAGTCTCCTGACAGCTCTTCATTTTTTTCAAACGAACTTTTTCTCATACTTTTAAACTGCGAAATGTTGCATTGAGACATCTTTCTTGGTCGATCTATAATATTATGAACAGTTAAGACTTCAGTACTGCTATGTATTTTTTTTTTTAAATAATTACTCGTGTGTTTTTGTGTGGATTCAGCCAATGATTCTCTTCGAGCATGTTTAGCCAAAGTTAAATCTGGTAGTGTTAGTCGTCTGGATTGGGTGTACTCCTTTTCTTTTTGAATGAATGATTTTTTCCAGTCGTGGAGCTGAAAAATAATTTTAGAACAAAATGAAGGGAAACTATTTGTGTTTTTTGAACGTTTACTCTGTGTCTCATATTGTATTGGATCCGCCAGAAGACAATGAATGGTAGAACTGAAGACACTGCAATTATCAACCAGTTGTTTGCAATTCTGGAACCCAAGTATCTCAGGTCGACACCCAATAAATGATACCTGTCATTGCTATAATTATTAGTGCATTGTAACACAGGCTTGTCGTTGGACTTCCATCCTGATGTCGTAGAACTGACACTGTCTCGAGGATCATTCCCAAACAGTCGGATCACTTTTGATGTTAGAGTTTGAATGTGCTCCTGGAAACACGAACTACTCGCTACTAGCAAGCACAAGCACACAACGAATGATTTCCCGACGTTGGTTTTCATTTCGTTGCGTCCGACGATCACGATACTGATAGAAAATAACAATTTAGCACGTTACGACGGTCATTGATGCTTACGATAGTCAGTAATATCAATACTACAAGAACATAATCATTATGTTCATTATTAATATTTTGTATTTTACTCACCGCGATCACCGACTGCAGTTTTTAGTTTTCTTAAAGCGATCCAATGTGAGTACGTATTTTTTCTGTAGTGGCTCTAAAAGTGTATATTATATTATATTGATTTTCGAACTCGTGCGTATATAATGTTACAACCCCTCGGTGCCAGCCACTACCGTCGCACAGTTTAGGAAACGTGAACCATCGTCGACGTAGTACCTACAAACGTTTATGTTTTTTTTTTTTTTACAATTTTTTCCCAACATGCTATATTTAACCAGGTGGTGTGGTCTTGTAGTAAACATCGTTACCGAATTTTTTTTTCTCTAAACGTTCGAACTTCACCACAGGTCGTTTTGTCCCGCATATACGAACATTAATCTATTTGTACAGACAACACACATTAGATAGGTAGTTATTGTTATTATAGTTGTATATAAAGTATTATAGACTAGGGCCCTAGGGCACTGGGTTCATTTAATTTATAATCTAAAAATGCGTACATTAAATAAAGTGCAATATCATAATATACACACTAGGTTAATAGGATTCCACACCGCGTTTGTTTCTGTGGAACTTTTCTTCTTTACGGGACACCCCTTTTTTGAGGGAAATGTTGGTAAAATCATAATTTGGCCCATGAACTTAGTTTCAAAGTTATAAGTTATAACTAATCGAAGTTTCCAGTTTATATGATAACCCATTATGCTACAAGTTTCTTAAGTTGAACTGTTGCGCAGTCAGTGGCATACACAACTATTTTCAATGGAGTGGGCTTACACAGGGCCTTCCTGTACAATAATTCGTGGGCGGCGGGGGTATAGGCATATACATTTTGCCAACTCAACAAATTTTTTCTGGTTTTTCTCAAAAACTATTATTAATATCATAGGCGTGACTAGACTTTATTCGCATCGGCATCTTAGCTAATAATCGGTGCTACCTTAATGAACCAAAAAAAGCCCTATAAACCAAATGCCGTATTTTTTTAATGCCCCCCCCCCCGTACCAATGAAATATTTATTTAAAAAAAAGTTTGAATATCTATTTACAATTAACAATCTACAGTACTTGTATTACAAATCCAAATAATAACACCACAATAATATATAATATCCAATAATAGATTATGCGGAACAAACCGTCGTCTGTCTCAAGTCTTTATAGAATAGGTTTTTCCGAAGTCGGGAATATAAATCTTTATAGTTTAATAGCAATTATAACAAAACAAAAAAGAATTTTTTTTAAAAATAAAATTTGAAACCCATCTGTAGACTTAAAACTCGGTCGATCGCCGACTTTCGAAAATTGGAGGTGCAGCCCAGGCACCCTAGGCTGCCACTGTAGACACGCCTATGATTAATATATTAAGTACATTAAATAATATGCTTTAGACAATTGTTTTTATTTTTATTAATGCTTTATTTATATGTATAACTAATATATATTATCAATTCGTCATGCTTTTACAGTACTCACAGTCTCACAAATCACAATAGGTACATTTACCCAAATTAAATTTTTTCGTTCGTAATTCTGGCTATAGACACCCATACAAATATATTGCGGATTTACAAGTTTCTTTACCGACCGACAATTTTTTTTATCGTCGTATAATTAAAAAAAACAAATGATGATTCTTATTCCTATAAATAACTTAAAAAGTGTCAAAATATTGTTAAAATTGAAAGGTGCATAGATAATCCCAATATAAACATTTGGTGACAATTTCATGTATCTACTGTTATTTTTTTTATGTGCAAAGAAATTCAAAATTTAATTAAGGAGTATATTATATAAATAACATGTTAAAATTTTTCTTTGTATGTGTGTCTCGTGTGTATAATGTAACATTTTTTACTGCCCCCCTCCTCTTAAACATTTTTTCAATTTTTAAGTTTTAACAAATTTTCAATTTAAAAATTACACTTCTTGTATGGTAATCAGGGGCGTCATTTCAACTTTTCAATAGGGATGCAAACATTTGAATCAGGTCAATTGTTTCCTCCACCAGGCCATTTATATATCCTGTTTATTAAGCGGAACTTAAAAATAGGGCTGCCAATGTATAGTCTGAATCCCCCAAATGACGCCCCTGATAGTAATATTATATAATATGATAATATGTTAATAAAATAATATACAATATATATATATATATAGTAATAGTATTTTAATAGTATAATATTGACATATCCAAATCTACATCGTAGTAGTGGTGTAGTGCAGTCCGCGCGCAGTCATGCAGGTCAGGTATAGTCAGTGTAAATGAGCATTATGACCAATTTTAGTTTTTACAATCGGGTTACCTATTAAAAAAATAAATTAAAAAATATAAAATTTTTTGACAAATGCTTATAATTTTTAATTGTTACGAAATTGAAATTGAAATCAATTTTAATCCGACTAATTTTACGTTGATTGGATATTATGATTTTGCCGGCTCTTATTTAAATTTAAAAAAAAAAGATGTGAGTGGGTGGGAATATTTTCACGTAATTACGTATACTAAAAGAAAAAAAGAAAAATCCAAAGAGGGGGAGGGGTTGAATTCCTCTCCCCCACGTGTGTACGCCACTGTGCGCAGTGGTAAGTAAAAATGCATTTTCATTTCACCTAGATACCGGGCGGGGTCACTCGCTCGCTCAGTCAATTAAAAACGAAAATATCCTTCGATTTTAGAAAACAACAACACCAAAAATATATACTTAAATAAATATTTTTTTAAAGATTTTATAAGGTTAGAGTTCTAATCTATAATAATAAAAACAGAACATAATTTAATTTCGATAAGATAATAATATGACAAATTCAAGCTTTGGATACCTCGAGTGTAAAATAATAATCACTGTGATTTTTCTTTACGTAATACGTACCCGAAAATTAAAACTTGGCACCGAGGGAGTGTAACATTATACATGCACGAGTTCGAAAATAAATATTATAAAATATATACTTTTAGAGCCACTACAGATAAAGTATTTAAATTTTAAGTACGTACTTACATTTTGAACGCGTTGGGAAAACTAGAAACTGTTATCGGTGATCGCGGTGAGTAAAAAACAAAATATGATTAACAACTAGGTAGATATTATATTATTTACAAACGAGTCGGCTCTAACATGTTTTTGTTTATATTCTCCTAACTGTGTTCTTTGTTGATTTCGGACAACTGTTAATGTAGTGAACAAATCTATGTGATTGTCTTGTAACTATATATTTCGACAAAATAATATGACATTATAGGTATATGATATAAGCTACTATATTATGTTTAAACTATCATTGCAATGAAACTCAATTAAAATAAAAGATTATCAACAGATTAATCGCAGTAGGTATGACCGCTTTGAATACCCAATAATTGTAATTTTTATCACTTTAAAATAACTTGGTACCTATCTAACTTTTAAGTGATGAAAGTTTCTCACAATTAAAATCAATATTTTTCTTAACGTTATTAATTATTATTGTTCTTCAAAAAGTAATTTAATAAATTCCAATGTTAAAAACAATTTCCGAGATCTAAAAAAAACAAAATTAAAAATACCTACCTATTTAATTAAAAACAAACAACTTCTAATTATAAATTTAGTCCTAAGATCTGAATTACACGATACGAAATAAGTTTACCCACTATTAAGTTAATTTAGCAATTTTAGGTAATTTAGCTTAAACATGTTATTATGTACGAGGTTTTAATTATGAATCAAAATTTGACGTCACGAAATTTGTAATCATAAAATGAAATAACATAGATACAATAGACTGTATCTACGGCCGTACGGGGGTGGCATACCTATTATTTATTATACTGGATATGATTTTGAAAAAGGCACAATTCAAGTGTTTCAACGTTTCATAGTATATTTTGTATAGAACTGAGAAATCAAAAATAATTTGTTAGTTATAATGTCCAAATAAAAAATAGAAATAAGATACATTATACCTACAATACCTATACATAATATAACTTAAAACTTTTTAAAATATCAGACAATTACCTACGAACTATTTTAGTACTTTGGCACTAATAATTAGTAAGCCATTGTAAACCTAATAAACGTATATTATAATATTATATTAAAATTATGACGTGATGCATAGTCGTGTTTATGTTAGTTATCAATTAATAAATTGTTCAATAAAAATAAATCTTCTTTTAAAATTTGTTTTTGAAAATAAATTGTAATCAAAACATTCCATAGGTAGGTATTATATTGATATTAGATTTTGAGCGGACTGTTAAATATATTGATGTTATAAATTTATAATGATGTATACCTACTTATTTTTTTGTATACGATGCACTATATAATATAGGTAGTAGAAAAAAACAAAAATTCTTCGAACTTACTCTTTGTGGGTTGTTTCTGAAATTGGATCTAGTTGGTACTTTTGGGGGGTCAAAATTGATTCCCAGAATTTTTTTAAACAAAATAATTAAGAATTTTTACTCAAAACCAGTTTTCGTTTTCTATCACACGTTGTTGTCTTGTTGATATTAACTTTTACTTATTTTAATTCAACATAGGTATCTTATACAGCAATGAAGGTAGTCAGTATCGAAGGATTTTCGGAAGCCCATGCTCATTGGGGGGGTTAAGGGTTCAACTCCTCCGACATTTTTAAAGTAGGTTTATATTTATTTTATTAAAATAATATAGTAATAATATAATTATGTATTTTTAGTTCATGTATAAAAAATATTTTTAACCCCTCCCCCCCAAAAAAAAAAAAAAATTGATCCTGAATACATGCATATTTGAATAGTACTTACACTAGTTACACTATTGTCTATAATACTGCAAAATAACTAATAAGTTCCCAGGTTTTTTTAAATTATTATTTAAAATAACATTGATTCAATAAATAATAATATGTTATGGCTAATAACTAATGAATATGAATTAAAAGTCTAAATATTATCATCCATGAACAAATACAAAATTTGATATTTCCAATATAAATTTGTAGAATTTTGAAAAAAGGTATCAAATTTTGTGTTTGTTCGTGGATGAATCGTAGTTATTTTTGTATTCATATGATAGGTTAAAATTACCAAACAAATATAGCTACGGTACATTATACGTCTTTAAGTAGCTTTGTCAAAAAATAAATTATCCACCAAGAGCACTGAGCAAACTCTGAGTGGATACCTCAAGGTAAAAGACCATGTGGAAGGCCTAGA